TTACCTTTAGACTTCAATTTTGAAAAATTGTTTTATTATGAATTTTTAAGATGGTTTATTAGTCATATTTTTTCACTTTTTTATTCTAGAATTACTCTACTGGTCTGTGATGAGATTTATGCCTCACCTTGCTGCCTCATCTAAAGGTCCAAATCTACACGTAAGAACACAATACTAGAGAAGATGTATGAAAAGGAGACAAAACTTAACAGCCAAACCAAGCCGCCCCCACGCCACCTCAACCAACACACATCAACTGTCTTGAGTATATACGTAATTTGAGTTATACTCTCACAGCAACTTTTATTAATTTTGAAGAGAATAGAAATTTTAGAATAGTGATTGATGTGAGAATGTGTAGTGGAAAAGTGATGAAAAGTTTTTGATTTGTGTGTAATATTATTTTATTTGAAGATTGCGTGGTTGAAATGAAGAATGAAAATGAGAATGGAAATAAGAAAGAGAAATTAATGGGTGCCAAACGGGGCTTAATATCAAACGAGGAGCTACAAATCAAGAAACAAAAAGAAAACCAAATTCAGAGCTACAAGTTAGTTTTGGGCCTTTTAGCAAATATTATCTGTATGTATCTATCATAGCATTTGAGTTCCAGTTAAGAGTCAAATCTTCTTGGAACCGAACTGATATATTCACACTTACCATCCCAAATCTTCAAGCCTAATAAATATTTCCTCAGACCCAGAACACTCAAAATAGTTAAAAGATGTTTATAGCTTACTGAGAAGACAAACAACAATATATTAGAAATCAAACAACCTATCATCTACGTGGTACAAAGATAAGGAGAGAGATAATATCAAATATGCTGATTCTTTGACTAGCAATAACCGAGAAGATTTTTTCGCAATTAACCTGATGATCATCAATGTCAATCATCATTTCGGCTGACTAATGAACGTTTTAGAGGCCATAATTCCAACTGGTATTTGGAATATTTCATTATGTAACAAGATTGAAAAAAAAATGATTACATTTAGCCCCTGTTTGACGGCCATTGTTTGGGAAAAACAATACTTTGAATAGTGATTTTTAAAAGAATGTGCAATAAAAAATAGGAAAAAAAAATGAGTTTACGTGCAAAATATTTTATTGTGTGAATGTGGTTGAAAATGAGCACGTAGAAAAAAGAGTTATCAAATAACTTGCCATTTAAACATTAAACAAATTTAGAAATATTATTATAGACAATCTTAAATTTTATTTGCAATCAGGCTTCAATTTAGATGGGGAAGAATCTCGGATCCACCGTGTTCTAGCAAGTGAAACTAAATGTGAAGCCATGCATTGTAAGACTTTGATCTTGGTATAGCAGATCATGGGCCCACCTAATGCATAAAGAATAAAACTCTCCGGTATAATGATCAACAAAAGCATAATGGATTCATTCTATAGGCGGCTTGATTTCGAATCAATCAATTAAATCACTTGACCGTGGAAATAAAGTTATTGAAAGAGGCTTATTAGCCTGAACCTTTCACCAGCCAAAAAGAAGTCCTAACCTTATATGACCAGTTCAAATCTTGGACGTTGCCCGCTCTAAGTTGTTCAGAGCACTTAGAGTGACATAATAACGGACAAAATGGCTCTGATTGTTCATTGACTCATGACAGATTCCTTCCAGAGGTAGTAACTCTCTGTCCAACCTTCCTCCACCGTTCTCCTCTTCTTAGTGAAAGATTCAAAAAGTAGGTTGATGGGATGACGTTCATGTCAATAGAGGCCAAGTTCTCACCGGGGGTTCATTTTCTTTAATTTCAAATGGGAAAGATTCCATGCAACGGAATACAAATGCTTCCAAGTTTCCCAGTTGATGAATATGTAATTATGTACCGAGGAGAGGACCAGGGTTTGATTTCCACATGTAATTCACATAATTGGAATCACGTGAATAGAAAAGTCCAAATGGGCCTTCTTATGTGAAGACGTCACTATGTAATTATTACACAATTGACACTAACTAATCTTACCTTTCTTGACTTGTTTCTAGTCACAGCCAAAAGATCCAGTCCACATGGCAGTTTGACATCATATTTATAGGCTTGACTATGATAAATCAAAACATTCAGAAATACACAGTGTAGGTGGATATTAGTTGATCAATACACATTTCCTAATAAGATTGTCAATTCAATGTAACAAAACTTTTTATCAACAAACATTCCTCAATCGCTGAAAATGTAAACCAGACCACTATATGTAATATGACACGTTCAAGATTAGAAAACCAGGTTGCAGCGTATAACAAAACCATATTCAGCCCTCTAAAAGTCTAAAGATAGTTTTTTCATGCTAAAAGTATGTGAATTTCCATATGATAACTGAACTTACTCTTCATTTCCTTTTACAATATAAAGCACATTGCATTGTATGATATAAAGTATAAACATACAAGAGAACGAAACTAAGAGCGTGTTTGATTTGCTTCATTTTCCATGGAAAATGTCATATTTCCACCCAAGTTTCTACTTTTGGGGAGTTTGATAGACATTTTTTTCAGAAAATATTTTCCAAAACTTGATCACATGACCATATATTCCTCAAAAACAAGGGAAAAATTTTCTTTAGGGAGGGGTAAATTTTTATTTTTCAGGTAATTCTGTCTCGTCTAACCCTCCTCCCATCTTTCCACCAATAAAAGATTGACAAGTATAAAAATTTCTAGGTTGAAAATTAAATCAATCAAACGCATTTAATTAATAATTTCCATGCAAATAAGTTTTAGAAAATTCGATTGCCTGGAACTTATTTTCTTTCCATGCAAAATTCATGCTTGCAATCAATCACACCCTAAATGGACAATAAAGTTAAAGAAAAAGAATTAAAGCTGCAGAACCAACATACTTTAGCCGTGGTCGTCTCTCGCCTGCCCTCCTCCTCCAGAACCCGTGTTTGGTCCTCCACTATTATCGTTGCCAGTGTTCCCTCCATCACTACCCCCAGCTCCTCCACTGTTGCTTGTCTCAGCAGAAGAATCCATACCTCTCAAAAGCCACGGTAGTGATATGTTAAACCTCCTCTCTACCGTTCTCGGTGTGTGCGCATTAGTATTATTTCCATTCTGCTCCCCACCAACGGAACCCAAACCTGAATTGTTATTATTATTACTATTGGTATTGGTATTACTACTATTGGATTGTCCCATTTTCTGATTTTCATAGTCTGGGTCATCAGTAGGCAACTCATATCGACAAACTGGGCAAGAATTATGCAACTCGAGCCATGGCAAGATACAATCTTTATGATAAATATGTTTACATGGCATCTGCTTTGCCCCCTCGTCTAACTCAAAGCTGTCTTTACACACGGCACACTGGGATGAATCCGAGCTCAGTATCTCCTCCGTGATCTTTATAACTGGAAGCCCCTCCATTGCAGACTTCGATGCAGGTGGTGTCCCATATCGGTTGGGATCATTCTCGGCGAGTTGCTGAATTAATTGTTCCAAACCTGGTCCAATAAAATAATCACCGAGATTCGTCGGAAGCCCCAAATCCACGCCCTCGCCCCCATCAGGGCCTTCAAAAACAAGCTGAATATTTCCTCCGAGGGATTGGAGAGTGCTGATGTAGTTGTTAAGAAAGGTAAATGGGTCGAATTCGTTGGCAGATCGGCCCGATCGGTCAATGCCTCCACCTCCTAAAAAAGTTGAGAGATCTTCCAGTCCCAGTCCGGCTGGAAATGAGGCACCTCCCCGGGCGGAAGTAGTCGAGGATGAGGAGGAGAAGACGAAGGGGAAGCTGCCCAAAGCCGCGGAGGGAGGGAAATTATCAGAGAAAAAAGAATTATTGATATCATCATCGAAGTCGGAATTATTAGGGTTTGATGGTGGGGCTGTGTCGGATTCTTCTAGAAATTCGCCGTTACAATTAGGGCAATTGAGTTCACCTGTGGGTGAGGGTGCGATGGTGACAGTACGTTCGCATTGGTAGCAGTAGTATTGCCGCGGGTCACCGCCACCACCTCCATTAGAAGGAATATCGACGGACGACATCTGAGTATATGCGTTCAGTGAGAATTTGGGAAGAAAATGAACCAATTTTACAGAGGGTGGAGAGGATGAAGGGTTCATAAAGTCGCGTTTTATTATTTTTTATACGTGGGGATCCTCTCTCGTTAGATTTGCTGCAATGATTTGCAGTATTAGATATATCGCACGAACTCGAATATAAATTTGTGTAAAATATAAGGACGTGATAATGATTTGTTGACTTCAGAACACTTATCGGTGTCACTAATATATTTAGTGGAAATTACCCACTTCCATACATTTGAAGATTCAAATTCTAAAATCAAATTTGGTGGTTTAAATTTCAAAAATTAGAGATTTAAATATATAGATACATATTTTTTATGTTTAATTAAATATTAATAATAATATTATAATTAATTATAATATACACAATTCACAAACCCTACAAACAATTCACACTTTCCTCTCTATCTCTCTCTCTCCATTACATACCGCCACCTTCACCCTACACCATCTATTCGCCGGCAACACAGCTCCGGCATTGAGGCACTTCATCGGAGGAGCATCACCGGCAGAAGCTGCGTCATTCCCATCGGAAGTTGTCGTTTCCAGTACCGTCAAACTTGACTGGCGGAAGCTGCCGCGAACTCGCAGCAGCGTTACCCTACTGTACTCCCGCCGCCGCGCTGAAAACAACCTTCCATTCATCACCGTCGACGACGACCGTTGTGGCTTCATCAACCCTCGCCTTCACATCTGGTTTCTTTCGCCTCAGCCCCTCGTCAATTATTTCGCCTCCTTTCAGATCCGTCAATTGCTAGTCAAAAATTGGATTCAATGCCCAAATCAAATAAACCCTAGATGAGTAGGGGTAGCGGGCGACGCTACTTGTGGTGGTTTGCGGGTGTAAACAGAGGTGATGGTGCTGTGTGTGTTGCGGGTGTGGGGGTGGTATAAACGAAGATGGTGGTGCTCTGTGTGTGTTGCGGGTGTGGTGGTGGGGGGTTTGGCGGGGGCGGTTTTGTGGTAGTGATGAAGTATGTATCTGTGGTGGGGGGTGGTGGTTGTGTGGATCTTATAATTTCTGTGATGGTGGCAACGATATTATTGGTGCTNCTATTGTCTATTGGAGCACATGCTATGTCGTGTACATGCTCAACACAATATATCACATTCGGTGCAAATACTACGGTAGTGTTTAATTCATCAAATCATATGGAATTGACACATGAAAAATACGATAACGAAGACATTTCATGTTGAGACAGTAAATCATTAGATAGTAGGAAATATATGTCCTAAAGGGAAACCAAATGAAAAAGGTCTTCAGGCTGTTGATAAATATGCATACATGTTTGTGCAGATTTGCTTTCTCTGTGCATATTCTATCATTTGTTCTTGAAAATTTTCTATAGCCCTGAAGTTATGGAGAAAACAATTATGCCTCTCCTATGCTCATGGCTTCCCACTGAATCATGCAAGGAAAAAGAGAAAAAGAAAATTACTAAATAGTCCCGTTAATTTATTTGTCTTTCGAATTTATAAAATATTAATTTCAGGGGAGAATCATCCATCTTTTAAAAAATATTAAAACTTGTAAGAAAATTTTCTTTTCTGAAATTAAGGTTTGGTGGAGCTTAAAATAAGATTTTTAGCATATTTTTAGTACCCGGCCGTAAACTTCAGGGTCTCGTGGGATTAGTCGAGATGCGCGCAATCTGGCATGAACATCCACAGTTATAAAAAAAAAAAAAAAAAGTTACTCAAAACGAAATTCAGAGTCATCTTTTCTTTCACTCGGTTTGATAATGCTTAAAATTTTGTTTTACTTTTTAGCTTATTTTATTTGTCATCGTTTCTTAAGGTAGAATTGACGCAAATGATTATAGATATCTCTAATCTTTTACTCAACGGACGAAATTGATGAATGATTCTATATATTAAGCCCATGTTTGGTACACATTCTTTCAAAATTCAACCGCATATTTTTTATCATATCACTATTTAAAATATATTATTTCCTCGATAATATCCATTAATTACATTATAAATTTCAAATGAGTTCAATAATAATTACATACCTTTCCTATCATACCAATAGTGAAAAATGACACCTTTATTTCATATCTTCATTTAAACCCAATCGCCTGCTAATTAGGCTCTATTTCCAAAGAACTTTTGCACGTGTCATTTATTGATTTGCCAAAACTCAAATCTGTCATAGCCGACCTGCTTTACACCCTCCTTTCCTCCTTATATGAACTTTCATCTGCAGTCTGCACTGTGTGTAGTGTTGTGCGCGTTTTTCCAGTCCGATTCACAAAAAAACAACTAAAAGGTATGAATTTATCACTGAAGAATTGAAGCTCCATCCCTTTGCATTCTTAGTCTAATTCTGTCCACAGTGGTTTCCCCAAGATTTTAGTTGAATTTCAGGGTTGTGTAGTACTTGTTCACCAGAATTCCCCTGTTTTCTGGAAAAAATACTGCCCAAGAACAACACGCATACACGCTCTTGGTGTCTAACAAGATTAAACATGAAATGGGCTTATGGGCGCTGTCATTTATTGATATTTGCATTTGCACCCACATGTTTTTATACTAATTTGAAGAGATTAATTTAATCACTATTATCCAGTGTACGTATATACATAGCATTAATTAGGATATGTCCGTCTGGTGCGTGCATGCATGCATTAATTTTCTGGTGTTGTAGGTCCAGTTTTGTCTTCGAAAATGGTAGCAAAAATGAAGAAGGTAGAGAAAATAGGTGGTGCAGAGGCTGCCTCCTCTGATGCACCGTCGCGCCGGAGAAGTTTCACCAAACCATCTTGGCTTCTTTGCACTATTGCTGGTAAAAATTTATGTACTTTTTTTCTTATCACTTATTTTATGTTAAATCACTTTTTTTTTTCATCATGTTCATTGTTAGTATTCATTGTCCTTTTTTCTTATCACTTATTTTACTGCATGTTAATTCTATGAAAATCTATTCATGATTTGAACTTGATTGAAATGTGGGTCCCCAGAAAATGAAAATGAAACTTACTCACCGTGCTTTCCTCTTTCTGGCTTCGAGTGTATCTAATTATTCTGTTGGGTCACTTTCAACCCGAATAATGACCCAGAAAAGTTCAATTCAAAAAGCATGCAAAGACCAATTCCTCCCTAGTTTCAAAATTTGAACCATTTTACCAAACAAAATCCCTGATTTTGCAGAAACAATTTGATTCGAATCTGCTATTCTTCTTTTTGCCCATTCCTCTGTCACATACCCGACTCATTTGGATAGATAAGGCCAAAGTTTTTACCTTTTTAACCAGTTGGAAAAATCACAAGATTGTCTTAATCTGTACGAGCTTTTTTTTCCCGCACAAACATTGATTTCACGCTCGATTTGATTTTCTTGTCACGTGGGGTCCATTTCTGTCACTGCTGTTTGATATCCAGGACATGTCCATTCTTGATAATGAACGTTAATTATTTGGAAAAAAAAAAAGTGCACTAGTTAAAATTCAAATTTCCAAAATTATACAAATAAAGCCAAGATCATCATCTAATTGAAAATGTGGGGTATTTCAGATTTGGATGAGAGGATGAAGATGCTGATATCGAAAATCCCTAAAGAAAGTGCTGATAGTTTTGCAGAAAGGGCCAATGCCTACTATCACCAAAGGCCTCAGCTGCTGGCATTGCTTCAAGACTTGTACAATGACTACCTCTCTTTGGCAGATCGTTATTGCCAATCACTTGCCAAGAACAATCATCGTCGTAGTAGTTGTTGTTCTTCACCCTCGAATTTCGATGAAAATCAATGGTCTGATCAGGGAGACCCTGGGGGAGTCGTTGATTTGGAAATAGGAAGTATATTACCTTTACAGCCTCCCTTTCCACTTCCAACCAAAGTGGACGTCGAAATGCTAATAGCCGACTTGGTTATGAACACAGTGGACTATGAGATTCTATCGAACGAGCTTAGCGTGGAAGAGAAGAGGTCTAGTGAATCGGAAAGGAAGATAGAGCTGCAAAAGAACTTGTTGGATGTGCTCGAGTCGGAAAGGTTAATACTACTGAACGATAACGCGACATTGGGATACAGATTGTCCGCATTGGTAGAAGAAAACAAAGGGTTAGTTTCAGAATCTCTGTTTATGAAGAAGAAGGCTGCCGAACTAGCGAGGTGTCTACTGAAGACGAGGGAGGATCACAGGGTATTCGTGCTGAGTCGAAAGATTGAAGATCTGCAGGGGCAGATATATGGACTGGAGAAGAGAAATAAGGAGTATTATGAACAGCTTGTTAGACAAGATGAAAAGAAGAAGAAGGGTAAGAAAAAGGATGTCAAGATTAAAGATCGGGTGAGTTTGGATGACTGCTTTAAAGTGCGTGCAAGTGATGCTGACAATGTGAAAACGGACTTCAAGCATAAAGATGGTGGTGTTGAAGGTGCAAGAGTTTCCAAGTTGTGGAATAGAGTCAAGAAAATGGATCTGTTCAGTTGTGGGCCTCATTTCAATTTTAATACCAGCCAAGATAACTAAGTAAAGCTATTCAAAAATCACCAGATGATAGTATATAATAGCACCGTTTAGCAATTTCCCAAGTTATATTATTGTTACTAGTCAAGCCTTCAGAGTAAAACTTCGTCAAATTTTACGACAGGAATCTTTGTACATGTTTTGTCGTCGTGTTTGTTTTCTTGAATCTTATGTATGAAAACATCTATACAAGCTGCATATTTCTTCTTCATCAATTACATTAACATACTTGTAATTTAGCTCTTACAGTCTTCTTTTTGAGAAACTGCAGTAACTAAAGTTGCAAAATGTATTCGAAGTATATACAAAAAGAGGTGAAAAGATGATGAATTGTACCTAAAATCCACTTGCGTTACTTCTGTACCTCCTTGCCCAGTTTTATTCCTCCCACGTCTTCATCGATAGCATTGAACTTTTCTTCCTCTTCTTCATGTTTCAAAGTTATATAAAGTGGGGAGTTGCCAGTCTCGTGAAGACACTGGCTTAACATGACAATGATAATAGATAGCACCCAAATAGAAGAAACGATAGAGAAGGACTCAGACGACCAAAGACAACTAGAGAAGCAATAGAAGCGCCTAGCATCAAAGCTTGTTGCAGCATAGAAACTGCGAAATTTCTCACATTTGTGGGGAAATGCTCCAAATCAAATGCAGACAAAGTGAAATGTACGTGAGAAGATAATGTGAAGGATACATGAAATGCCTGCAATGTAAGCCGATAGGGAGAAGAACAAACGATGATTGGAAGCTCAAGAGCACTCTGCCAACAAAAACAGCCGGAATCTCCATCATCGCGTTTATTGCTACCGTGAAGTAGAGGTTAAAATTTAGGTTCTCGAAACTGAGTCGAACTCCATAATACGCAATACCAACTCTTAACTCCAAAACCAGTAATCATAGCCATTGCCATACTTTGAGTCTTTACCAGCCACTTTCTCAGCACTAGAAGAAGGTTCTACAAGACTTTGATATGGAGGTAACTTGTGATGAGATTTTGCATATTTTTTCAATACATCAAGAGCTCCTTGGCTTCTACCTCGAACTAGAAGCCAACGCGGAGACTCAGTTGCGAAGGGCATAAGTGTAAAAATATCGAAGGTGTGGTGAAGTGTTGAAGTGTTGTGCCACTAAAAAAAGTTCATTTTTTTCTCATTGCTTAAAGGTGGCAATCCGAGTAAGAAAGAATTATGCTTCTACTCTAGTCACTAGTTAATAATTCATCTCAATATGAAGTACTTGTCACATCTCTCTTTATAAATTCAAAACTATCCGAAGTCTAATCGATACAAGAATATTGTTTCCTTGTCTCGAACAATTCTTAATGCTCATCCTAATCCACACGTGGTTAATGATTGTATTTGAAACATCACATACTCCGTCAAAGTTTACATTATCTCTGACACGTTTGACACGTATTACTATGAAGGTCCCGCCACTTCGAGAGTGTGCCATCTGGAATCTCCTCTCATCGTGATTAGCTAAGGCAGACAGTTTTGTGGGTTCTTCCACAAGCCCAGGAATTCCTGTCTAATCCGATATGGAATTTTGTATGCACAACTTTGACAAATACCGAAATTTACCTTTTTTAAAAGAGAGTCCATAAATGTGTGTTTTTCAGATCCAACATTCCTGTTATTGTGGTTTCTAAATCCCTAACAGAATGGAGCAAACATTTATGAAGAATAGAATATATTAAAAAAGAAACGACAATTGCACTTGTAGACCTTGTGCTTGGACGAAAACTGACTCAACATGGAATTGACATCAATTTTTCCTACCCCCAATCCCTTCCACAAGGATAAGAATTTTTGCCCTTCGGGGGGCATAGCGAACGATTTATTATTTGGTTGTGGTTTGTAGAATGCATGATGATGGACAATAACCTATATATGCCTTGAAAGTTGCAATACGTGTTCACCACTTAAAAAGTATTATGAAGACAAAAAGAGACCCAGTAATTACTACAGCCTAACTTGACAGATTTATCCACGTTTATAGCTGTAAATACAAATCGGGGACTGGGGAGGGTGGAGAACGAATTTTCGTCCCCTGTACAATCCTGCCCACAAATCAGAAATATCTGAGAACGTAGCACAGTACATATGACCACGTGGTTTCTCAAGAAATCTCATAACAAGAAAATCCAGTGGAAAAACGAACGAGTAAGAAGCAAGACTTTGATGGATATGTAAATGAATAGAAGAAGCCATTAGAACACAAGCAGGTTTTTGAGCAATGACAATATCAACCCAGTACCTAAATCTTGAGGATGACCTGCCGGCTGCTAAGACGGTCATTTTCCCACAATAATGAGAAGGCAACGATACTTCTATATACTTATCGAGAAATTACAGTCCATGGCAACAAACAAAAGCTTGGTTAACATTCTGAAATTACACCATATAATCACAGATCAATAAAACTTTTAGTGAGTATTCACGAGAAGTGGATTACATGGTATGTTGCCCGTCTTTCTTTTTTCTTTTTTAACAAAAAAAGGAAACCTCAACTTAGCTCATTGCAAGAATCCCGAAAAGTTACAAATCAAAATTTGTATCCACACGGAATGAGAGGAAAAGCATCATTGATTGAGCCACAGGCTAGGCTTGGTAATCCAAGAAAAGACGCAATTTCTGTAAAAGGAGCTCACGGGTTCCATAGAGAGGCTTACTACTAATGACCCAATCCTTCTCAAGATGTCCTGCTTTAGAACTGTTGAGCATCTCATCATGGAAGGCAGACACAATGCAGTAAATCGAAGTCCTCAAAATATCAGCGATTGCATATGCATTGGCATAAAAAGGGCTCTCTCTTCTTTTTCCAGCGGCACCTACAGTAGAGTCTCCTCTCTCTGTGCTTCTTGTTGCCCATCTAATTCCAGCAGGACCCATCAGCTGATTTGGGGACTGTAAGTTGGTCTTCTTCCCCATGAGAGTTTCAACAGCCAGCAAACAAGATAATAAGGTGGAGATAACAGCGCCATTACTTCCAGAGAGTTGAGCAATCCCAAATCTGTCCTCCTTGTGTGAACGGGCAGTCAATGATGCAACAATCCGGGCACACCAGGCACATAGCTGGAACATAGTGAAAGCAACAGTTAGCATCTCATTGGAAGCCTAAATGACACCACTGTGCTACAAAAAGAATTGGTGCGATTTACTCATCTGTTTGTTCTCGATGATGTTGAATTACTATTTTTGGTTTCATGATAAGACAGAATATTTTACTTAGATACTACATTGAGCTTCTAAAACTTTTCTATATATCCCTTTAAATCTGTCTCACATCACACCATGTATGTCTGCCATAAAATTTTGACCAGTCCACAAGTGTCCATTTAATTTTGACTAGAGAGCATATTTGCAAGCAAGATTTTCATGGAATTCATTGTGCTAAAATCAAAATTAAAACACTGTGGCTTCATAAGATGATGCACTTATCAGAGGCTGATTCCAGACTCAGAAACAACTAACCACCTCAAGAACCTGACAACCAGATTAAGCAAAGAAGTCAACGGCTTTGCATAGTGAGGTGATAACTCAATTTTCTAAACCAAAATTTGTTGGTGTTTTGGCTTTTGAATAATGCACTCTTTATTATTATGTACTCACTCCTCAGCATGGTTTAAAAAGGCAGAGGCTGAGGCGTAATACCTGTGACTCAAGGTGCTACTTCTAGTGCTTTTATTTTGTGGCAAGCACCTCATTGGATGAGGGGTGTGCCTCAACGTTTTATTTGAAACTAGATTTTTTTTTTTCTATATTTTTAGTGCAAGTGTGACTTTCAATGATAATTGGGCCCTTCTCAAATAAAAAAAGAACAAAAAATTGGACCGTCAATTTTGACTAAACAATAAAAAAAACTAAACCCCACTAGCAATTTGAGTACCCCACCCGCACCTCACCATTCTCAAAGATTGCAAATTCCAGCAGGTATATATTAATTTTTTTCTTCTTTCTTTTATGCATTTCGTTTCCCGTCTCTTGTCTTAAAACATTTTTTGAAGTTGTTCTTGCACATGACAAGACACTGGGTTCTTAAAACCAAGCAGCCATGGTGTCAATTCTATGGAGAGTTTTTTAAGATTGATTGTTTACAATTTATTATATTTACATGTTTATTCAATATTATTTCATAATTTTTTGATCTTGTGTGGTGAGGCTTACAACTCAATTTGCCTCAAGGCTTATGCCATATAGGAAAAACCCCAAAATACCTATTTCCGTCTTTTACATTGCTCCTCAGAATTGTTTGGCTAGTTTTTTATGATAATACAAAAATCTACTGTTGTCCGACGTACAAATGTGTTTACGCAGGAAGATTCTAAATTCTTGTGATCTCTCTATTTAACTTGTATACAAGACTAATGGTAGGGAGTAGTAAGTAGAGAGTAGTAGACTTCAATGACAGAATACCTCTCTTCCTTTCTTGTAAAGGGACAAACTAGCTCGATTAGAAAGGATTCACGAGGAGTAATTCCAAAGGCGAAAACAAATTACAGAAAATAATTCCATATTCAAACTTGAAACCCATTTCCAACGTTGCTTCTATTTATCACACCTTGATCACGGACAGTGACAATGAGATTCTTCTTTAGTCTAGTTAAATATAAAGCTAAAGCAACTAGATCACTCTATTTTTGCAGGTTGTGGTGGTCTTGTAATTGGTGGTGCGGGATGGAGGTTTGGGTTCAGATTCAGATTCAGGTTCAGGTAAAGTAGTGTCTTATCTCATCTTCTAGACAGGATATTTGTCTCTTGCAATTTTACACACATCATCACAAACTATCAACATGTTCCTCTACCATCAGCGATTGTATAAGAATCCAAACTCACTAAATTTCGCTCCTTGATGTCTATAAACAAGTTACCAAACAGTGACAGCCTTATGGTCTAATTGTATCTGCATTACGGATAAGAGAAATGAAACCAAAATGAAAAATGAAGCTGAGCAAAAACTATGGTGAAAATGTTGTGAAGTACGTAAAATTTACGCTAGGTTTTGAGTACATAATTATATTAAAAAAATGTGATGACAGGGTGAAATCATGAAAGACATAAAATAACTGGAAAATGGAGACAGTTCAGTTAGAAACACAATGCACGTAATATAGTAAGCAGTTGAAAGACCACAACACATTTCTAGCGCATGAGTTACTTGCATATAAATGAATAGAGAATCTCAAACAAATGTGAAGATAAGATCTGACCACAAATTTTATAGATATTACTCAGCATAAAACATAGGGTTTGTTTGAGCTCCATTTTTGTCAAAAAAAAAATGCATTGTTGAATAGTATATTGATGGGAAATGTGAGGTTAAAAAATACGAAAAAGTTATGGTTTTGCATGTAATATTATGTTATTGATGAATGTGTGGTTGAAATGGGGTCAAAACACTATTCAAGAATGCATTTTTTTTTCAAAAATGGGGCTCAAACAAGGGCACAGTAAATATCAATTTCCTGAAATATAAACAGAGAATTATATGAACAAGTTATAATTTCTTGAACAAATCAACATGAGAATAGAAGTATTAAGATTCTACCTGGGTGTCGTAAAATGATTCACAGACTTTAGAATATTCAGGTCCCATTGCTGGTGTACGTAACTGGCTGGACAGCTGGAAGGAGTTCTCAATTAAAGAACTATCTAGACTTCCATTTCGTTTTAGAGTTAGCTGTTCCAGAGGCCTCAGGCATACAGCTATAACTCTTTTATAAGTAGCACCGGTCTCTTCAAAGAATGCCGCTCGGCGCCATGTATCAACATTACTTTCACATAACATACATAGATCAAGATAAGCAAGATACTGTAAAAGAGATTTTGGTGTGCTCTCCTCAAGAGTTTCAAGAAGTAGTTCACTTGGATTTGTTTCTGCCGCTGCTGAGCCTTTTGGGGGTGCAAATACGAACCTCTTCGTGTGTATCACCTAAATAATCAGAGATATTATTTATGCATGCGAGTAAATGAAGTCACAATGGAATCACAACTTGAGATGTTTACCTAGTCCACAATGAAAAAATTAGAATTCAAAAAATTTCGAAAGGAAAAAGATTTTAACAAAACAAGCTGGCTAAGGAAGAAACCTGATGTAAATGATGGCTTAATTCCCAACAAAGAATCACTACAAAGCTTCCAATGTAGAAGATAATCTGCTCGCTGATGAACTTTCCCATTGTATCCTGACTTGTATATCCATTAGGTAGGAAAAAAGCTAGCACGCCTGATATCAGGTAACCAGCAGCTGAAAACTTTAAAGCTTGCCCAACAGCTAAGGGAAGACCTATCTTGAAGCTGAAGAAAGGAGGACGCTGTTGATAGAGATTTGATGCAAGTGATATGTCATTACTTATTAAAGTAAATCACATCAAATGAAATTGCAGTTCTTGATGATATCATAAATCAAGAATGTCACCAGAGTCTTAAGAGTATGTTTTGGAAGTGTTTATAAACAGCTTAAATTACAGATAGATAGATAGATAGAATGAGTGGTGGATAAATGAGTAGATCTAGTGGAAATGTGTTGTTAAAAGTGGCTTGAATGTTCATAAACAATTTAGTAACATGAGCCAAACATAGGCTTAATGAATCTATCTTCGAGCATTACAAAATAAAATTTGAAGGGCGATCCCATAGGACTGATTTTGCTACTGTAACCATACAAAACCACAGGAAAATCAACAAAATGAAAATTGAATAGCATTAGCTTTTTACAACTTGAAGTGTTTTGCCACACAGAACATCCTATAGAATTTTATTTGACAAACCGGCATGTATTCACCCCTTCCCTCCCCTCCTTTTCCATGTGATTATGAAATCAAAGAAATTTGTGGAATGGAATGAATCGGAAAGCATTCCTGATAGATTGAAAGCTCAACATAAGATGCAGTTGCTAAAGGTTACTTTGATAATAGATGGTTACTAAACATCTACAATCAAAGCATTACATATTTTTAAAGATTCCAAACTGGAACTATTGATTCATAATATGGGAGGATGTATACAATTTCATTCATTTCCATAAAACATAATAGATGGAAATATATTCTCAACTCTAATTGATGAAAACAATTCTATATAAATAACCCTTCAAATTTATTTTTTGTTAGCAAATATTATTCTTGTGAAACTTGTAATTTCATTATCGAGATAAAAGTACATAATAATTTTTTTCTTCACAGTAGAACGCCCTTTTCTATTCAACCTTATATGTCTACTAAGACTGGTGCTATAGTTCAAATCAAATGTTATGCCCGTCAAAATCATAGTTACCTGAATAATCGGAAACCGCAAAAGCCAGCGCTGCTTATACACGTAGTGCAACCCATAGAAAAACCCTACCACATATACCAGGTTACAGAACGACCTAATAATTGGTCACACACATCGTCCGATCCGCCGCCATCCCATAGAAAAACCCTACCACAAAACCTCTAAACCCCAACTTCCCATAAACACAATACCATCTAGACCTCGACTCTACGTTGTAAACGTCGCAACCCCAGCACACGCAAATTAAGGAAACTGCCCCCGCCACCGCACACAAGTTCACAAACAGAACATAGCTCAATGATACCTTAATTTTTCTCCTAAGTTCCGGCTCAGCCAAGCCCTTGGAAAGGAAAAGAAGCCTAGCCAAGCTGAGGAGGAGGTCGAGTGGAGAAGCGGAGGGAAGTTGGTTCGGGGAACAGAGGAAGAAGACGAAAATTGCGAAGAGGAGGAGGGAGAAGTGGAAGGAAAAGAAATAGAAGAGGGAAAGGAAATTGGGAGTACAAGAGGGTCGAGTAAAGGGGGAAAGGAAAAGGGTTTTGGAGAGAAAAAGTAAAAGAGTGGATTGAAGTGCTTGCCAGATTAAGAAGCTTAAGAAACGGTGTTTGATGATTGAGAAATGGGTTGCACCACCATTTTTGTCTTTGAACAGCGTTCTTTCTACGGCGGCGGATACCGACATCTTCTCGATTAAGTTTTATGGAGTCGCGGCGGCTGGTTTGGGTTTTGGAGCTGTTAGGTTGAACAAAGTGAATATTTATGCAGTGGCAACAACGGTGGTGGTGGCAACAACGGTGGGTTCGAAGGATCAGCGTATTTGGCAAGCTCTAAAACATTTCTTACAAGTGAAAAACAAATAAATAAATATTTTCTACCATAGAAAGATTCTTTTTGAAATATAAATTTGATTTCAAAAGGAGTGCCGTCAACCAAGATTTTGATGAATTTTAAAAGATTGTTAATGAATTTCATGGATTTGAATAGATTTCCGCAAATTCTATAAGAATTTCCAAATATGGTAAAAAAATTTAAAAAATTGATTATATGTATTTTTAAACTTGAAATCCATCTAAATCTGTTAAAATCACTCTATCAACTTTATAAATCCACTAGGTATTGGGGATACTTAAATTTTAAATAATTTTATTATTGAAGACACCTAAATTTTAAAGAAAATGCTAATGTACAGAAAGATTACAACAGAATTTAAATAGAAAACCCCATGCGAGTTTAAAATATTGGGAAAAAAAAAAAGGCCCCACCTGATGTGTCTTATCTGTTGCCTTTCTGTTGGGTGTCTTTCTGTACACCCTGTGGATCTCTAAATTTTAATAGATTTCATTAAAATCTCAATTAAGGACACCTAAATTTAAAATGACTTGTAAAATTCATCGCGATCTCAATTGAGGGCAAATGTAATAACAAGACATGGTTGCTTTGAGTAATTTTTGTTTGAAAACTAACTTTTAAGAGCCCGTTTGACATGACTTTCAAAAAATCAAAATGACCTTTTGAGATTCAAAATTGATTTTGGACGCGTTTGACTAATTTTATTAAAGTACTTCTACTAGTTAAAATAGCTTTTAGAAAAAATTAGTTAAATGCAACTTCTTCTAAAAGTATTGGAAAACTCTTTTAAAAATTAGTTTCCAAATAAAAATAAAGGTAGCAACTTTCAAAAACTCTTCTACAAAAAAGTAAAAATCATGCCAAACGAGCCCTTAAAGCATCTCCTATTCCAGAAGTGCTTTCAGAATAAGCCAGATTGTATCAGCTTCCTCTAAAAGTCATTTTAATTAGAAGAAATATTTTCATAAAATTAGACAAATTGGTTCAAAAGCTCATTTTGGATCTCAAAAATTCCTTTTGACTTGGCTATGTCAAATGGACTCTAATGTTATTTGTACATAATAGTGTACTTAATGATGGGTTGTGTTACATGTATATAACAATTTAAATATTGATTTACTAACAAATGATGTGAGGATATTTAATTTGATTAAAATATCTTTAATCAAATAAATTCTCCACTTACATGTTGACACACTATCATTATGTAAAATATTAAATAAATAGTTATATACAAGAAGCATTTTCTCATAATATATTTCTCTTCCATGTCATCGTTACATAGAAATAGCATTACTCGATTGCTTTTGGATGATTGATTAATCATCGAGCCCCTGTTTGGGCTCCATTTTAGAAAACATGCATTTTTCTTTTTCTTATTTTCAACCGCTCATTCTCCAATAAATAATATTAAACGTAAATCCAAAATTTTTACCTATTTTTTAATCACATTTTCTTCAAAAAATCACGATTCCAAAATTCATTTTTTTTTTCTCAAAATCTACTATTTTTATGAAGCCCAAACAGACGGGCCAAGTTTTCATTTTTTATGAAGCCATTGGACCGCTAATGAGATGGAAATAATTTCATGTTCTCCATGATTTTATCATATTTTGCATATCAATCGTTTGATTATTTCTGTTAGAGTTTAATTGCTAACTAGTTTAGCAGCAGTACTGAAAAAAAACATAAGGAAAGGATCAACATGACATTATCTCATTTATTGAATTGATATTTGTACAAACCGATGAATATTGGCATATTCATTAGAATTGGAATGTAGTCATGATTCTATAAGATCATTCGTGTGAACCGTACAGCTTCAGCGCAGCATAAAGGATGATACAAGAAGAGACGCATAAACACAGCCACCAGGGACATGCACACGACATAGGCGTTCTATCATCTCTTGGGGAGTCGAGCTTCCCAATTTCATATTCTTCTCCAGGTTTAGTCGGCAGAGCTTCTGCTGGTGCTGGTTTCTGCAGTTCAGGTTGTGCTTGTTTTGCTGGTTGTCGGGATTCAGGAGTTTCCTTTAGTTTAGATGGCTGTTTTCCTTCATGAAGGATGGCTACATTGTTGGCCTAAAACATCATACGACATACATAGATTAGAAATTTACTTGTCCAGGCTACATTTTTCACTTCATGAATCATATAATTCAATGACCTACCAGTTTCCTGAAGTGGAGATTGTACAATATATCGATGTATCTTTGTTTAGCTTGCTTCTGCTCTTTGATTAACTGCCTCCAGACGCCGTAGGCTGATCCCATATTCAGGACTTTGGTTGCATATATCTTCCATGTATAGCTGCAAGTGAACAAACGTTGTAATTCAAAGAAATTCAGGTGATCTATCCAATACTACATACCAAACATTCATTAACAAAATGAGGATCAGATGGTACCATTCGTATATGCGACTGAGACCTCCTTGAGACATCCTATGCCAATATTTAGGATCTCCGTTACATTTCTCAAAGAAATCAGCAATCTTGTTACTTGATTCGTCACCATTGTTAGGATCAATAAGAAATCCTGAGACACCATCAACAATGATTTCTGCTGGTCCCCCTTGATTGGTTGCAAATGTGGGCAATCCACAGTTCATTGCTTCAATAACTGTCAGGCCAAAAGCTTCATATAATGCAGGCTGCACAAAAGCCCCCTTCGTGTCAGCAATGATCCGGTACAGTTCACCATTACGATATCTATCAGTTTGGGCGGCTATCCATCGTATTAGTCCTTTAAGTTGGTATTTTTCAATTAAAGTGTGCATTTTCTTGATTTCAGCCATTTCTTCCCTGTCCTTCGATTTGGATGGATCGAAGAATCCACCAACAATAACAAGGTTTACTAAACTCCTAAGCTTTTTATTCTTCCCATACCACTCAGTCAGCCCTGCAATATTCTTCACTGTATCAAGTCTTGCCATTGAAAAGATAATTGGTTTCTTTTGATCTGCAAGAAATCCACTGTTCCAAAAAGTACGTCCTAATCAGAAATTTAGAGGATTTGTGCAGAGAAAATGCAGGTGGAGGGTCAAGTTGAATTTGAAGAACTTACATGTGCTCGTCGTTATCCTCCTCACTGTACAGTAGTTCCTCAATGGCAGGTTGAAACTGGGTAAGTCGGTTATGTTTCTCCGTGAATGGGAAGTAGATGGATTGATCAGCTCCAGGTGAAGCAATATTAAACTTCGGATCAAATGCATTGATGCCTGAAACTACTCTACAGAGCCCTGGCATAGTGAATTCGACGTGGCTTTCATATTGTCCAGGTCGGCTCTTGCTGAAACGGGAAAGAATACAATGAAATAATGTTTTGTTCGTGCAAAAGCTGAAGATTACTTGCATCAAACAGACTAACCTTCCTGCAATTTCTTGATAGGTGCTGGTAACTATAAAATCGGCAGTGTTCATTGCAATTAAATCAGCAGTGAATTGGCATGAGAAGTGGTATTTGGGATCCAATTCCTCCCATTTCATATCTGAATCTTCGTATTTAGTTTTCTCCAAAGCATGAGCAATGGTTCCCTAAGTATCAAAACGTCAAGATTATAGATTTTCTCAAGTCTCACGGAAGATTGAAGAATGAAGTATTACATTAGGATAATTTCATGCTAGGTAGTAATACCAGAGTTACTCCAAGTCTGCTAGCCACTAAAGATGCCACTATATTTCCATCGGTATAATTCCCAAGTATGAGGTCTGGTTTACCTTCCATTTGCTCAACAATCTTTGCACTAGCATCCTAATGATTTAAGAAATATACAGAGTTGATTTTCCAAAGATGTTGAGAAACTCGTTAAATAGAAAGTTGTGAAGTCGTGTTTAAAAACGAAGATAGTACTTGCCTGGGAAAACCTCTCCAAATAAGGATAGACATCAAATCGAGAAATCCATTGGCGGAGAATCCCCATCTCAGTCCTAAATGGGATCCTGAGGATGTAAGAATGTGAGGTGTTCATAATAGGTTCGATCTCTTGATTGCATGTCGTCCCTTGCGCATCTGGGATGAGGCGAGTCACCTGTGCATGTAAGATGGAAAGAAGTTTTCAACTGTCTCTCTCTCGATTTAAAGAGATATTTGCGAATTCTTTTAATATCCTCACCACTATAATCTGGGGCTTCACATTTAAGCCTTGCTGCTTAATTCTTGTTAAAAGTTCTTCCTCCAAAGCTTTCACTTGATCTAGAATGTAAACCACCTGCTCAATTTAACAAAATCCTTAATCCTAAACTTTCCTAAAATGATGCTAATGACCATCAAAGTAATTAGTTAAAGACTAATTGTGTCGTGTTCGGCTGCACCTGGCCTCCAGTGTCAGGCAATCCGAGGACATCTGACTGGCCAAAATAGCCATGAACAGAGAAGATAACAATGTTGAATGTGACGGGAAGCCGGCTCAAAAAGACTTCTGCATTCGTAGGATCCGGTGCTTGAAGTATCTCGGAAAGTAACCTCATTGTCTCACTTACTCTTTCAGCATTATCGCCCCACCCTTTCTCGAAGCCCCATTCGTTAAGCCTGGAAGTTCAAAGTAAGTCTAGACATAACGAGAAAATGTTGTTTCTATAAATTTTTCACCAATATTTTTACAAAGTAAGAAAGGTTACTTCTGCTCAAAATTTTGATAAGGCGTGTCCTTTGGTTGAGCAGAGACATAAACTTCAGCAATTATTAGCGCTTCTTTAAGTTTTTTTACCGTATTGAGAGTCTCGTTGATCATTAATTTCTGTAAATTGGACAAAAAAAGATGGGATATTTAGGCCAGATTGCATTACAGATATTGTATCTTTGGCAGAATTTTTTTTCCTTTTTCCCATTTGCTTACCTCTCCCTGGTGCTTGAGAGCAAGCAAGTACTCGACCAAAGTCTTCGCGCTCTCAGGACTCCCACTGAATTTCGTTGTCATGAATTTCGAGATATAGGTCATCCCTTTCCCAATGGACGAAGAAAGGGATAGACGAGGAATAGAAACGTCAAATGCTCCAAAATCGATTTCCAATGCATTGTCGTCCATAGCCCTGCTTGCACATGAAACCACATTACCAGCAGAATCTTATCATTTTCAAGAAAAGTATTTCATATTATTTCAACTCACCAATTCTCATCAATGATCTTTTCTTTGAGTTTCAAGTATTCTTTGGCTGTGATGATATCAACAGATAGATTCTCTGCATTCACTTTAGCATAGTCCCAAACCCCAGGATTGTGTCTCATTGCAAGAGCAACATAAGGTGGTACCACAACTGCCTCCTGCAAAGTTGTACACACACCCAAATGGCATATTCGTTAGGAGAAACAATACTCGACAGTATTAAGGAAAAAAAAAACTAAAATTTTATCGGACGACTGTTTGGAATTGACCTGTGTTGAATTGAAGATGTCACCAATTGAACCTTCCAAAATCTTGGATCTCTCAAGCTCGTCCTCAATTGTTTTCTCCATCTCTTCCTTTAAATGCTGGGCTTTCATTAGCCTTCTTCCCATTCCAGTGAACCTTCATATTTATTTTTTCATACGATTGAATCAAATTTCAATTGCCAACATAAGACATAAGTTAGGATATTGCAAGTTAAAATCTTGTTTATTGCATATTGCATTTCCAGTACAGTGTGCTGAACCTGTTGTCAAATCCTATCTAATAGTGCGTACCTATCAAAACATTTCTTCATGTGGTATCGGCTCTGCCTCAAGGCATCTGGCATGCTATCCACGATCAGAGAAGCCATAAAAATGTTCTAGTGTATAGATTTTGCAGGTAAAATTTGTTTTGTTTTGAAGATGAAATTGGGGTCCCCTTCTTTATATAGGAGAAATAATTCAACTATGCACGTGGAAATGGAATATCTTTGGAGGCTGAATACTCAATTGGAGGAAGAAAAGACATTCGTTGAGGCTGATTGAAACCAAGAAAAAGAATTCATTCAACTTCTAAGTAAATCTCAGACTTTCATTTTTTGACAAATTTAAAAGTTAAAAACTACTTTTAGAGATGAAATCTTCCATTTTAATTTATTCTTTGCTTCCATTGTTTGCTGGCTTTGGCTAAGAAGGGGACTTCGAAATTGTTTTAACCAAATTTATATTTTTGATAATAAACTTGAAATGTTTATAATTTTTATAAATGAGAAGAAGTGAAATTTGAACCCTTTCTTTGATACTACGTTGACCATATATTGGACATCACAAAGATTTTATTTTTTTCATTAATCATATTACATTCTATATATTGGAGATGCTTGTTGTTCACTTGAATTAATTGCTCGATGTATGCACATGTTAAAGATATCACAAGGTCATTTTTCTTTGTTCATTAATAAATTGACTAATTAAACTCGTTCACTAAAGATTCCACCGCCGATTCCTATATCATCTGATCACCAACTTCGTTAACCCCCAACTTCCATACATGGTCTTACAACTTTGCGTGACATAATTTTTTGGCCAAAGTCGCTTGAACCCAATTACTACAACCCCTTTGTGAGGAGAAAACCCTTCTCTCAAAGTTACTAGACTATTTTACCAAGTTCCTTAGACCATCTACACCAAAATTCGAGGTAAATTTTACACCAAATCTTGTACCAAACTAAAACTCATCTACAACCTAAATATACTAGAAATTGTACCAAATGAATAGTGTTTCGTGATTTTTTTTCTTTCCTAGCAAATTTATTTATCTCAAAAATTATTTACTTATTTATTTATTTTACTACAACATAAATTATTAAATAAATAATTACATTTAATTAACGAAAATATTGAATTCGTTAATAAATTAAAAATTAAATTTATTGTATTATAAAAATGGACACAAATACCCTTAACAAAATTTGGTGCCAAAAAAATGGGATAAAAAGATGCTCAACCATTTTGGCATAAATGAATAGTATTGCACCAAATTTGCACCATTTTGGTTTAGTGCAATGGGTTGGAGACGGATTACACATTTACACCAATAATTTGGTGCAAAGGGCGATGGTGGAAGATTCGGGTCTTCAAGATATTCTTCATGAATTTTTTTTGAATTCCCTTTGAGATTATTTAATTAGTTGCTAGATTGTGTAACTACATTACAATCAAAGTAGATTAACCACAATACTGAAAAGGACAATATGGTCTAAATGCCCACAACAATTTAAAGGCACCAATCTTTTTGTTATTACAGCTTATTCAAGCCATTCAATTCTACCGACCCAGTCGACAATTCAACAATAAAACATTACCCTTTTCACGTTTTCCCTGAGCTGCGGTAGAGGTCTCACAGCAGCATTGGCTCCTGCAACCCTTGCACTTCTAGCACTACCACCTGCTCCACGGCCACCAGCTGCACCACTGGTCATTGACCCACTATCGGATGTATCAGGCTCCATATAGAAACGAGCACGAAATGCAGCCAGATGTGCATAGTATGCAGGTGGTACTGCCGGAAGACGTAAAAATTTATTAACAGCTTACAAAACTTTCTCAAAACAAGGAAAATTGCATCATTGGTCTCTAACGTATTGCCCGAGTAAAAGAAACAAAATGGCCCTCAATCTCTCAATTTTATAGCGAGCACAGTCCCCAAAAACTGAAACTATGCAAATCCATTTAGTCGTCACGTGGACTTCATTTGTAACAAGTGGCACTTTAAATTTCTCGACGCCAACCTAAGGTGATAAACAGAATCTAGTTTCATGGAGTTGGGACGTGAGGTCACTTTAGAGGAGATTTAAACATTTCTGGCAATGGATACCGATGGTGGAACTGTAATGAAAGGTGGACGACCAACTTGCTAATAGTCAATAAACTGTGAATCAAAGTGCAATTTTCTCATAGTAGGAAATCATATGAAAAAGAAGCATACCGATGGAAACAGAGCGGGTGCACCTTGCATACCTACAAGTCAAAATGAAACCAATAAGAAAGTCACCGTACCTAAAAATATCACAAGTGCAGAGCAGGCACTTACGTGTAGCATAGGTTATTTGTGAGGGACTGGAGGGCGTCGGCTGTGAACTTATTTTCATCCCACAGAACATGATAATGTGCTGGCCTGCTGGTACCCTGTAAGATTGAATCAAAGCAAGCAACACATTAATGATGTAGAAACAAATCATAAACTACATGGAAGCGCAGTTTTACCTTCACCCCAGCATGGCTGCAGAGGTAGAAATCAAATTCAGTAGGATGGCATATCTTTGAATCTACTACGGTACCTGAAAATATTCATATTTAAGGTGAATCATATTTTAAAAATATAATCTACTGCATAACATAAAGCTGAGTGGAAACAATTGAACCCCATACCAGGCAGTATATTTCCACTTTTGTTAACAGCACGTCTGTCATTATGGTCATCGGCAAACAATCTTGTATGATGACGTTTCTGAACTACAACAAATGTAACTGGGGGCTGATAGTTTGGTTCCAAAGATGCACAAGCCTAAATTAGATTAAAAACAAGGAGCAATCAAAAAATTGGAATTAGATGTGCCTGTTTCATAGAACTCCAATCATAAATCAACTCTTAAAAAGATAACCTAAACGATACTTCGAGAGACTATAGAGGCAGTACCTTACGGATGGCATCAAGTTCATAAAGCAGAACTTGATAGAACTGCCCTTCACTGACACCATCCCTGCAGACAGTCGAGCATAGTGAGGCTTCAAATGATGGAAAGAACAGTAAATAAAATGTCTAAATAATTTAATTGATAATTGAAAATACCGATAGAAAATAATCCGCTGTGGTTTCTGTCCAGTTGCTCTACGGAAAGAAATGAGGAGTTCCCTAAATTGTAGAACCACAAAAACACGTCTATTAACCATGCAATTATGATCCAAATAAGCATAAATGATAAATCAGCTATTTCTAGTATACATGAGTGGGAAGAGGTGGAGCAAAAGAATTTCCATTGGCATGTGGGAGTATTAGATGTCATACTTGATCATGCCACCCGTCACAGTTCCTCTAACAGGGTCTTGCCAGGTTTTAAACAAGTCTTGGATGAGCTCTTGCCTATGAGCTTGAGCACAAACCAAACCAGCATATTTTGTGACCTCTGGCCAGTCCTGGGAAGCAACAACCTGCAGTGAAATTATATCAACAGTAAGTGGACCTCGACAGAAAGATGAAACCAGATTTACGAGGGAGGAAGCATCTCAAAGCTGTCAAGTGAGAATCTTACAGCAGCAATGGATGGGCTAGAATCCTCGCCGGGTTGGGGATGTGTAACATCAGCCCCAAAAATAATCGTAGGTCGGTCACTGACAAGAGGGATACGCCTAGTGAGTGCATCGACTAGCACTGTGTTTCTCCCTCCAACCTTCACATTTATCTTCAGTGCTACATTTGCAAGATATTGTTGATTGTTTGCCTTGTACAGATGCTTTTGCAGACAGCACTGTGAGACAATACCAAGATCGGTCTCACATATTCTTTTCAGATCACCTGTAAAAAATCAAATATGCATTTTATCACAAAATCAAGCAACATCAATTTCGTGCATGGTGCCTAAAAATAGAAAAGGCCTGTTATTTTGTTTATAATTAGTTTCTTACCATAAAGGGGGCCATTATTGTCTGGTAATATAACGATTAGTAAGTCAAGTTCCTTCCCATGGGGCTGCAGTTTTGTCATAACGTCATGAAATCTAGCTTTTAAGACTCTTTCCACCTGATCTGGCCGGCCACCAAAAACTGGTAGAACAGGTTCAGGATTGAAGTCCTGTGACGAAATACAAAAATCAGAATGCACATATTTAAGTATTAAAAAAGTTAAAATTTCAAATGCCTTCACCATGCCAGAAGTAATACACATATGAGCAAGGTCGTGACAAAAGCTTCTTGCCACATTGTCTTGCACATTGCGGGCAAAGTTAATGCAGATCCAACTGTTGACAATGCCTCCATTAACCATCCTCTGCAAGATCAAATATTAAATATTTTTTTGCAACAATTTGAACAACATTGCAAGGTGATAGCTATAATGTTTGGAGCAACATGCAAAATAAACATCACAAGATAACTATGCATTAATACTGGTTCATTTTAGCATATTAATACGGAATAAATTAGAATTTTTAAAATTGCAATTACCCTGTTCATCATGTTCCACTGCCCAACTTGTGGCAAACAGTCCCTGTCCCGACTAGAATCATGATATCTAAGCTGTAATAACACAAAACTTGTGAAACAATTTACCATCAAAAGAACTAATAAAATTTAGGCCAACATACACAGCAAAGCAATGATCAAAGTTATGTACCCGGGGAGCAGGCAGAATGCGAGCCTCAACTTGAGCCAGCTTCTGGCTGATTTTAATTCCAAACTCTTTAGCGTAAGGGTCCTCAGAATAAGCATTATGATGTACAGTCTGGGATGAAAAAATATGGTGTCAAAGTAGTTGGAGCACTCTCAGCAACAAAATGCATAATTCAGATACCAAAGGCAACAAAATTTGCAAAAAAGAAAAGAATGAATATTATAATTATACAAGGTGTGCATAATTCACACATTCCCCCCGGAAATCAAGAAAGGCTTAATAGTAATGTTTCACTCTTTCAAATGAGAGATACTAACAAATTAATGTAGCATGAAGCAAAATCATAGATATAGTACTAAACTACCTTGCAAATGACGAATGAATGCACACTATCCATTAACAGGGGACTATAGGCATAATAAAATAAATGAGAAAAAAGAAGCTACAAATACCAAGCAGCATCAAATATGATGCAAGGAAAATGTGTCTACATAACCCCTCATTCTTTTCCCCATCAGTTCATATAATACCTCATGAAATGCTACAAAAGCATTCATAAAATAAAATATTGCACAGGCATCCCTTGGTTCAAATCACAATAGCCACAAAGATCATGGAAGGTTGCAATTTTATTGCAGTATATTCTCAGGTTCAAAATTTGCCGCAGGACCATAAAAATATTGCACAGGCATCCCTTGGATAAAATCAAAATAGCCACAAACAGCATGGAAGGTTGCAATTTTAATGCAGTATATTCTCAGGTTCAAAAAATTGCTGCAGGACCTACCTGAAGAATATCACGCTCCCTCTCATTGGGACGCTGACATGTGACCTTCAGGAGCGCAGTAATCTGTTTATCATTCAACCTCTTAGAGTACCTCTGTCCCTCTACAATCTTGCACACCTGGATTATCAAACAATTATCTTAATATCCAAATTTAAAGAAACTAAACCCCGTGGTTATAGGTGCAAATAGACTGACCTCCATTGGCAAATAGTTTGGCCTCTGTGGATTTCCTACTTGTAGACAAGGCAACTGAGTGTATTGAATGACATACTCATAAGTCTCTCTAAAGTATTCAACAACGGATTTAATTGTGCCCCTTTCATCAACCGGAAATCTAACACAAGAACATAATTTCAGGCTATGAGTACACAGACAACTTTTAAACAGTATAAGAAACTTCATTATTTTCAATAATGAAAACAGATGCTGTGAGAATTTGGTTCCCCAAGGAAAATCAACAAATACTAGAAAGTTCACACGGACCAATCAAGAAGCCAAGCTAAAGATCCTTGAAGAGACCTTAATAATTAAAGTTTAATGCTCAATCAATTATATTATATTGAAGTAAAAGGTTAGGCTGACCGATAACCGTAAAATGTGTTCCTTACATTAGCTCTTGTGTCGCTTGCGATGTCAAACCAGAGATTCGGTATTTCCTGCGCATATTTCCTCGATGAGTAACCTCCACCTTCACTCCTCTCAATGCTTTCTTGATCTGTAAAATTAATGTTTATAGTAGACTGTGAAACAAGAAAATTCTTGGTAATATGTGTATACAATAAGAGCTAAAATCCACGATGCTTCAATTAACTCAAGGGGTGGGCAGACATGAGATCAGAAACAAATATGTTCAGCTGATATCATGATTCGTTAGATGGAACTCCAAAAAGCGAAATGATCTAGTAAAAATTGAATATCAAACTTTAACAGGAAATATCATTATTCCCATTTTATAAACATCAGCAATTTTGAAATATCCCTTCTAAAAATGTTGATTTTTTTTCTAGAACTGTGAAAAAGGATTCAATTCAATTCAAGACTCAAATCAGTAGCATAAGATCAGTGTTTTGAAAGTCGGCGGTGCCTTGAGGTGTGCCTCGTGTCATACTAGGAACCTCAATTTCAAAAGTTCCCTACCATGAAAACTAAAAAGTGCAGGGACCGAGCTCAGTAAGTTGGAAGAAATGAAGAGTACAACCAAAATACTGTGAAAAAATCATAAAGAGAGAGGATGCAGTATCTAACCTTTACTCGATCAGCATCAGACAGTGGTCTAGCCGAAACATCCCTATTCAGAAGCTGTGTGACAAAATCGATCACTAGGAGTGGCTCAATGAAAGCAGTAGACGACATATCTGCTCCATGACAGAACATTGTACACAAGAAAAAAGAGGTCATTTTAAAAAACAAACGCAGACATCATTATAAAAAATAATAACTCCTCCTATGAGAAAAGAAAACTAGAGATAAATTTCAACGGTAAAAAGAGGATTTAATTAGTAGGTGAAAATGCAATTTCGAATCAAATAAATGGGAAGAGTTGCTCACCAATGTTCAGAGACAACCCCATTTGAGTTGGGCGAATACTTTGGTAGAAACCACGCCAACTTTCCAGCCCTTCACCCAAAGGCTCCTTTCTCCCTAAATGAGGGGAATAGAATGAGCGGCCAACTGGACAAAACCTGCACTCAACAAATAGAAATCAAACCAAATAAACGGCAAGAAAATTTTATAGAAGAGATGATAAGTAAAACAAGGCCAACGGCCCAATATACATACCTGGTGGTTGGCAATTCACGGAGAACAATGTCCAAAACCTGAAGAGCTTCTTGTGGCGCATCAGCTAGCTTTCCCTGCAAAAACATCCCTAAATGATGCAAGTCAGCACGTGCAGCAAACTTGATCAAGACCTTGAACTCCCTCGGTTGCCTGCATCAATAGAAAAACAAGAAATCAATGTCTAAAAACTTGTTACGGATAAACAATCTTACGCAAACAAGGGTAGACAACAAACACAGAAGAGAATATGGAATGAAACCTAGTGCTGGCTGGACCATCTTCTTCATCAATAAGGATGATCTTGAACTCTTTTGAGACAAAAGGGAGAGGCCCAGCAGTGTAAAGACTCTTTCTTCCATCATAGGCAGGAAGCCTCTGTCCTAGATGTGATTCCCTGTAAAGTTTCACCAATTGCTCTATCACAGCTCGATTAACGCCACGGGATGTGATCTCAGGGGTAATTGATACCTAATACCGTTAAAGTAAAAAAGATTAGCAAACAATGTATTCAAGATAAAACAACTCAGTGCCTAAAAAGAAACAAACAAAATTAGAGAGGGCAGGGAAAGAACTAGTTACTCACATCATACTGATGGAAGTCCTTGTCAGGCAACTCGGCAAAAAAGTGGTTGGCCTTCACAACACACTTGGTACCATAGCTACCCTTGCCAGGCCGTAGAGGAAATCTCATTGACTTGCTAGACGCAGGTTGCATTGCATCGCTCGGGGATGCTCCTGGCTGGATAACTAGTTGCTGGATTTGTTGTGTAACATGTGAAGATGTTGCCTCAGGGGGCTGGGATGAAGAACCAGCCTCAGCGTGCATCTCTGCAGGCATCTGGTATGACAATGGCTGAGTCATCACCCCAGCTTGATATGGGGCCTGGGTTGCTTGGTGCAGCTCGGGAGCTGGTGGCCTGGACAGCCCACCACCAGGAGTCCCATGGCCGCCTTGAATGCCACCACGGCGCTGAGGGGGTGGTCCCCCTTGATACTGCTGACCACCCCTCCCTTGCTGATATTCAGCAGGCCCACGATAATACTGTTGTGGAGAGACTCTACCACCTCTGCCGTCGTGGCCACCATACCCTCCACGCTGTTGTCCCCATCCTCTTCCTCTTCCTCCTCCACCTAGGTGACCACCTTGCTGCTGTGGATGTTGTGTTGGTGGATGTTGACCGCGGTCATGTCCTTCTTCAGTCTCCTGGGAGTCAGAGCTCTCACCTCTACCAGGATGATCAGTTCGCTTCTTCCTCCCCATGGTAGCTATCACACCATATAGGAATTAGAAACTGTTCTCACCAAATAGGAATTACAAGACCAAATGGCGTTGCAAAATATTTCATTTCCACACAATTAAATATCATTAATATAGACATTCATCCATGATCCATCAGAGAAAGTTGCACTTAAGTAGACAGTTACAAGACTCTGTCAAAATTCATTTAAAAGAAAAAATGAGGATGCCAAAAACATCCAGTTATTCTGCATGAGAACAATTATTAATCCACTAAATATGGTCGCTAAACCCAAGAAACATCAGACAATTAACACGTTGAGCAAATGAGCTTATCCAAAATGATAGAAACAACCCTAAAAGCAAATCCCGTTAAGGCTCTTCATATGTATGGAAAAATAGAAGTATATTTAACTGTTTTGTACTTTTACATGTAAAGACATTTTTTTAAGCGAAATAGATGCTGATAATTTCACAAAAGCTCTTAGAACGTTGATATTGTCAAAGAAAATGTTTTGTATAAATAAACTACTGAAAAATCTATCAGCAGAACAGTCATCAAATACAAACCAAAATTAAACTTAACAAAAAAAATAATGGAAAGAAACAGTAGAAATCAACAATATAGAGAGCTCGACAAACCCAAATCATATCATATATAAAAAGTTGAAAAACACAAAAATAATCAAGATGCAAAAATTAAAAACCTTATTCCAGAACATTTCATGAGACAATTAAAGGGGATCAGAGTCTTCAAGAAACTTAGCCAAATATTTTTCAGCCCAAAATGAAAACAGAAAAAAGGAAACAAAAATTTCAACTTCTACTCTTTTAGAAGTCATAAAACATATTCAAATCCTAAAACTAATCATCAAGATAAACCCATAAAACTACAGAACCAGTTAAAAATTCACTAAAATCCTCAACCCACCAAGATCAAACCAAAAAACCCAGAAAACTTAACAAAAACAAACTCAAACACATCATTAACAGCACGAACTGCTCCAGTGAACTTTCCGTTTTACCTTAAAACCGCCTTAGGAGACGTCGTGGAACTGGAAAATTTCCGAAGCCGGTCTCTTTTCTCAAACACTGATTGACACCTATAAAAGTTGAAGAAAGCGAAATAAATTACAAAAAAAAACAAAAAAAAAAATTTGAGAGAAATTGAGAGAAGTGGGGTTGTTCAGAAAGTGACGTTGGAGTTTATAGACGCTTGCGAAAATGCCATCCTCCTGGATACATAATACGTACAAGTTTACAGGTAAATGATGTTGTTTTGTGACTAAAAATTTAGTCCCTGCTATGCTCTAAACCATAATTCTTCACAAGACCCTATTAATAATTCATTGATTGTTCCTTCAATAAACAAACAAAAATAAATAAATCTTTAGCTATGTTTGGTATAAATTAAAATGATTTTTCATATATTTTGTCATGAGTTTTTCATTTATTTTTATTTTATTTTTAACTCGAAAAAATAAGTTCCGATCGACATTTTGGTTCCATTTATGCCTCTACTTAATTTAATTAAAAGATGATAAAATTTTGAGTCACAGTTACATATTTAATTTAACGAGATCCAACTTTTCAAATACATATTTTATTAACTTTCATAAAAATTTACTAAAAGATTTAGTTTTAACTAAACGTAAAAAAGGGATTAGACCCTGTTTCAGCCATATTATTCTCTCAAAAATGCATTTTAAATAGTGTTTTGATGAAAAATATCTGGTTAAAAAATAAAGAAAAGTTTTGAATTTACGTACAATATTATTTTATTGAAAAATGTGTTATTGAAAATAAAAGAGAAAAAAATGTATTTTAAAAAATTGGTATCAAACATGGTGTTAATAGAATGAAGAGTCTTGCTATGGGTACATAGCAAGTGACATAATATTTAACATAAGGGACAAGTGGTGTCCTTCCATTGGAGGGGCGCCTGGGCCCACAGGCGCCCCTCCAATGGAAGGACACCATTTGTCCATTATGTTAAACATTATGTCAGGAGTTATGTACTTCTAGCATAATTCATTTTTAAAATCTCGGACTCACCCCAATGCGTGAGGAGTGTCAAACTAGATGTACTGTCCTTCCATTGGAGGGGCGCCTGTCCCTCCTGCCATTGGAGGGGCACCTGTCCCACAAGCGCCCCTCCAATGGAAGGACACCACTTGTCCCTTATGTTAAACATTATGTTAGGAGTTATGTACCCCTAGCATAATTCTAGAATGAATTAAGCTATGTGTGCACCCAATAGTGTACACAAACAGGCGCCCCTCCAATGGAAGGACACCACTTGTCCCTTATGTTAAACATTATGTTAGGAGTTATGTACCCCTAGCATAATTCTAGAATGAATTAAGCTATGTGTGCACCCAATAGTGTACACAATGGTTTACACCCCTCTCACATGGAGGGGGGCCCACACATATTTTATTATGTGCGGCCCCCTCCATGTGAGGGAGGTGTAAATCATTGTGTATACATAGCACGATCCTAATAAAATTTCACAAAACTAACTTGTTTGGTCATATCTGTCACTCATTTTCTTCTATATGGCACTGATGAAATTTGAGACCAGCTCTGAAACATGTTTTCTACAAAGTAATGAAATTTATGGAAGAATCATCTTGTAAAGTGCATGGCACGCAATGGACCTAGCAACATAAATATTTATTAAGAATGTATTTTTTGTCTAACAAATGATTTTGTAGAGCTAGCCGTTTAAGTCCGTGGCGTTTATTTTGTTAGATATCGATGAAACACGAGATGTAGATTGACGGTATAATTGAGGGAAGAAGACGTATAAATTTTTTAGTAATTTGTTCGCTCGTTTATTTTTCAATAATGGGGAACGATCTAAAATATATCATATACTTAACGCATGTCGAAAATATAATAGAAATATCATGATCCAAAATATCTTAGCTATATTAGGAGTTGTCACTATGTGTGTACAATTATCTGAATAATCAGTAAGTCGATAATTCTTGTAGCTACTCTAAATACGTGAATAAAAAGTGATAGAAGAATTTATAAACACAAGCCAAACATAGGCTTAATTTTAGATCACTTGAGGTTGGTGGGAACATAAATATAAACTTTAACTATTAATGTTTAACTTTTTCTGAATATATAAATCATTTTATGCATTTATTTTATTTTTTTTGGAACAGAGGCCTGAATGATCGTGCCATTCACCATTTAAAGATTTTAATATTATAAAAGGATAATTGCAGCAGCAGTACCAAATCTTTCATTAAGTGACTTTATCCAAACCTTTCATTTGTACCATCTACAGTACCAAATCTTTCAAAATGTCACAACTGAAGTCCAAACGTGTGATTTCTCTTAGTTTGACCTTTAGTTGACCAAATAATTGTTTTTGATAATAATTTTGATTGATTTTAAAAAGTTAGAATGGTAATTTTACGTTTTTTTTTATAATTAAAATTAAAAATCGATTTCTACCTTCTTCTTCTCATCCACCCACCCACCAAATCTGCAATTTTGGGTATGGATGACAACGGATCGGGTATGAGACAAGACGATTATTCTCACCCTCATCCCGTCAGATATTTTTATTACCTTACCCCATCCTCATACCCGGTTAAAGCGGAATGGGACGGGATCTTGCCCCATTTATCGTCCCATTTATTTTTTCTTTTTATTTATTTTATTTTTTGCTTTTATTTTTTTTTATGTTTTTAGTTCGTAAATATTATTACATTTTTACTAATTTGTTAAAAATAACTTATATTCTCTTTAAAAATGATGATAATTTTTTTTTTTGTTCGATAAAAACTTAAATTTGAAATTAACTTTAAACTGGGCGAATAACGGGGCGAGAATTGTGTTTTCCGTACCCACTTCGAGATAATGACCATCGCCTCGTCCCAGTCCCGTTTACTCAGTTAGGAGGATAATCCCCGTTCCATACGGGGCGAGCCTCCGCGGATATCTGGTTGAATGAATTTTTGTCATCCCTAAATCTAGGAAATCAATCGAAGAAAAAATTCTGACAGTATCACAGAAATTCGTCGACGAAAAGTGAGGTGATTGTGCCGGTGAATATGCACAAAAAACAGCTGGTTTTGGCACCAAAGGTTTGATTAGGGGGTTCTCTAACCATGCAAATGTTGGCAGCTTTGTAAAATTCATAGGTAGGGGTGGCTCCGTAGTATTATTGACAAATGGAGAAAAATTTATGTGATTAATCAAGAAATCTGCAGGCGGAAGGGAAAATTTCGACGAATTTGTCGGTGAACACCCACCAAAAACAGCGGGTTCATGCACCGGAGATTCGATCGTGTAATTTGGCGGCTTTGGAAAACTAGTAAAATTAGTCCACTATGGCTCCGCCTCGATACCGTTGAAAACTGGAGAATAAATATGAGGTTTCGACGAAGTCGCGGATGGATAATCTTGACCCAGTCCAAAACCAGTTCTCAAACAATTCAACATTCCTCCCAATCCATGAACCGCAATATCACGGCTATTTAACCACTTCCACGCTGTCCAAATTAATCGCATCATTATCTGAAATTAGGCTACTAGACTAGTGGCTTTCTGGGTTTTGATTTCCCAAATTTTCAGATTTGGGGCGGGTGTATGAGGCGAATGAAGAAGAAGAAGGTGAAAATTGGTTTTTAATTTTAATTACAAAAATTGTAAAATTACCATTTTAACATTTTAAAATCAGTCAAAATTATTGTCAAGGTCAATTACTTGGTCAATTAACGGAAACCATCCATTGGACTTAAACTGCGATATTTTGAAATGTTTGGTGCCGTGGATGACACAAATAAAAAGTTTAGGCAACATCTGCTACTTAATGAAATGTTTGGTACCGCTGCAGCAATTATCCCTATTATAAATTTACATAAATCAATGTAAAATATATTCGTCAAAAAAATTAAAATAAAACATTTACATATTGTTTGATGAACATTATTTAGTCAAAATATTGTTTTAAATAGTTATTTTTAATAGAACGTGAGGTTAAAAAGTACAGAAAGAATTTTGAATTTACGTATAAAATATTTTATGTTTGAATATGTAGTTAAAAATGAGTATGTAAAAAAAAAAAAAATTCAAGTAAT